GATTTAAAATGTTTTTTTATACGTTTCAGTTTTCACTGCTAGAAAAATTTCACTCTGTATTTAAGAAATATAAACATACCGATTATATAATTCCTTAAATATCAAGTCACATTATACTTCAGAGAATGCATAAGAAATTTGTCTACTTTTTGTTCAAGTTTTTAAACACATTTAATACAGTATTTACAAGACAAGATAGTGGCTCAATTCAACGATGAACAAGCAAACATTCGTAGATGGTAATAACCAATGAAATGCTATTGATGTGTGCAGCAATAATAATATCAAAATCCTCTCCTCAAATATATATTATCATCTCTTTTTATTTTTCTCATCCCATCCTACACTTAAATAATAAAATGAACGATTCAGATTTAATTATTTTATAAAATAATTATCATGATATTATATTTAAAAAATAACAAATAATTTTAAATTGTTAAAATTCCATCCATACGATTATAATTACAATAAATAAATAAATAATCCTAATAATAATATACAACTATGAACCGTACAGATCAAATTTAACAATTTAAATTTATTCATTTTTTATATGATAATTATTTTGTAAAACAAATTAAATCAAACCATTCATCCCATTAATTAAACATGGAGATGGGATGAGGGGAGAAAAGAAGAAAGGAGACAAGCAGAGGATCTGGACCAAGACCTAATCTCAATATTTATTAGAATTATATATTCTCATTTTAAATTCTGGATCAAAAGAAAGACACGTTTCACTATGAACAACTCACTTCGCTTTGCAAATTCCATGGGAAGATACGTCGACCTTATTTTTAGTAAACTAAATATCCATTTCATGCAATCTTATTTACACATTCCTTCACACTTCTTGCATCATCATTGAAATATTCAATAGCCGACCACATTGTCCTTCTCAAGTCCGCACAGATCATCATATTATTCAACAAAACTAAATACAAAATCAAGATGCCATTGTTGTGGGCGAGCAACTATCAACAGCACAAACCAAGATGTCTCTGTATTCCCTGGATATCTTGAAAGAGTCATAAACCTGTCCATCACTGCTCTTCTTGTACTCAAACAAGAGGTTTGAATGATCAAGCGCTGTGAGTTTGACAAATCCAAAATCATGGTCTTTAAAGATGCTCCATGTCGTGTTTATGGGGGCAAATTCTGCAAGTGATGCTCCTCCTCCACCAACCACTACATGTATCGTCCCGCTCAAGTAGCCCTTGTAATTGTTCTTCTCTTTACTGGTGCAGATATTCTGGCTCGGCAAGAAATGCTTCAGTTAATCTTTCATGTCACAAATTACTAATCATCTCATAATTTCAAATGTTTCAGGCCCATATATATATATATATATATGTTTTCAACGTGCAACTTGAATGCCATTAACTACAATGTCAAGTCTGTTTTGATGCCTTTGGACAAGGGTAGGCATACCTCGTATAATGGGCATGTTCTTTCATAGTTGTGGACATGTCCATACATGGCTATGTCAACCTTGTACTTTTGCCAGAGGATTTGAAGGTCCTCCCTTCCCATTGGCTCCTCAAAAGAGCCTTCTGCTACATAAAAACTAGCAGAAGAATATCCCAGAACCCGGTGAGCAAGAAATATCAACCATGGCTGTTTCTGTCTGTCAACCGATGATAGGCAGTGCTCAATGAATTTGTATTGATCTGATCCTCTTCTCCAATCATGTTCTGTGTCTGCTATGCAGAACCTGAACATCCCATAGTCAACAGAGTACCTGGCAAAAAACGCCAGTTTCAAAGACTCACCAGATAAAAATGAGACCGATGTCATTGAAAAAACTAACATAACTGAACATATTAATGAACACCAAAAAAATGTTCGTTAAACCAGCTTCATAGATTTGGGTCCCGTTAAAACAATTTTAGTCTGACTTGCAGAAGAAGAACATTTCTTTCTTTCCCCAGTACATATGTCTGCGAAATACAAATTTGATATCCAAAGAAGATGCATATTACTAACAAATTACATCTACATGGCATGCAGGTGAATTTAACCAATCAACCATCACTAACACATAGCCGCGAATGCAACACATAATTTGTTCTACGCAAAAAAAGGGGGGTTAACTTTAAAATATAAAATACCAGAATTTTTCCCGGTTCTCAGCAGGAACATAAAACATTGTCTGAGACAGTACACCGCATTCTCCTCCAGAATCCAGGTTGCCATAAAATGATCCAGTTCCTGGCCAGTCACGCTCATGGTTGCCACTGAAGCAATATTATGGAAGCAGTAAATAAAAGAAAGTTGAACCCCTGAAAACATTAAGAATTATAATGCATGCATAGCATGACAGACAAACCTCGCTATCATGTAAGGTATAGTTGATGCAATGGGCTCAATCTGTGAAGTAAATTGATCCCACTGTGAAATATATCCATTAGCATAGCATAAATCACCAATGTGAAAGACTAGATCGATGTCCTTCAAGTCATCAATGATTTGCTTTGTAGTGTTGAGTGATCCGGGCTGGAAATTGTTATATTCGTTGGAACCATCAGCTTCAGCCTGCTTGTGGGAAAATCAAATTAAAACTTAAGATAACAATTAACTGGATAACACCTTTTCTTGGAAAGAATATTGAAAATGTAAATCAGAACAATTATAATTTATCCATATATAAAATTGTGTGTGTATAATCTGCAGCATTCAACCAATATGAATGTTGTCCAAAAAATAATAATAATAATATGAATGACATGTAACAGAGAAGTATCCTATCCTCATAGTGGAGCAAAAACTATATCCAAACAACTAATCAGTCTCATGCATGTAAGTGATATGCATCAAATGAATTGTATTCAGACAAAAAAAAATTCCCAAAAAATAAAAAGAAATAGGGGGAAGATAAAAACCTTTCCCATGTCACCAAATATGACTACACGCTGCAGTGAATTTTGCCCAGGGAAAGGAGGTGCTTTGAACCGGTATTCCTGACTTGAAACAATTGTACCATTACATAATCTATGTCCAAGCCTGTATGTGTGCCTGAAAAATAGTAAAAGCGAAATTCTTAGTGTCATGTACAATTAACCCCTGCAAATAAATTAGCAATGTTATCATTCACACCATAAGTCAAAATTCAAGCTGCAGCTACAATCACCTGATAAAGACCTTGCTTTCTTACTAAAGCAAGTCATGAAGGATAAAAGAATAAAAGTGGCACATATTCTCTCAAAATCCACATGTTATTTCCATAACCATCATTAAACGGATCTCATCAAACAATTTAAGTTATCTGAGATATGTTCTGTTCTTCATTTGATATTAATTTGGATTGGACATAATTTTGTGTTGTGAAAAGCAATATTCAATTTTTTTGCTTTTGCTTAAGAAATACTATTATTTAACAGAAACACTACAAATTATTATCTATGTTCAAGCAACCTGAGGCTAGTTCAGGTAGGTAAGAGTGAAGTGAGGTGAGGTGAGGTGTCAGTAGAGGTAAAGCATAGCAGACCTTCTGTTGGGCCACAACTCCTTCAAAAAACTTGTGTGTATGAATCCAGGGTCACGCCATCCCACGGTCCTTGCTGGTGCACCTATTAAGTATATATGTAGATGAATTAGATACTTCACACCATTTCCTGTTTAGAACATCCCTTGCCTTAATTTGAATGAAAAGTACAATCTGCCAGCTGGCTTTTGAAATGGCTAATATAGTTATCTTTTTTTTTTTTTTTTGCATTGCATTGCATTATGGCATCAAGAAAAAGAAGGTTTGCCATCATAAAAGAACTTCTATCTGACTCATGAACAAGCTAACATCACATAGTTTACAATTGAATGGTGCATAAAAGAATTGCATACCACACATGGTATTACGGTCAAAAGTCAGGGTCCCAGCAGGAGATGCCACGCGGTTTCCACCTTCAACACCCCACTCAACAAAAGGTTCAGCTTCATCAATCCCATATCCACTTGTCCAAGTTACAGTTATCTGGTAAAAATGTGAAGATGTATATAATTTTACTGGTAAACTGTCAGACATTCTTAATTCACTCATTTAGGCCCACATTCAGATGCTAATAGCATAACAAAGGAGGATTTTTGAGTTGCAATTAAATGAACATTTGTCGCACCATAAGTATATATTAAAATTAATAAAGATTATTCTTACCTCATTCCAATTTTTCCCTTGTGCTAATCGTGGATATACTGGAGCATTTGGATTCACAAAGGATATTTTGTTTGAAACTGCAACTAGTCTGGGCTGTTAATAGAAGAAAGACAGAATTCGTAATGTAAACTGTACTTCAGAACTCTCAAGCATTATGTGTACAATGAATTAACAAAATAAAAGAGGAAAAAAAGAAAAGGATTATTGTTCAAAACCAATTTTAAACTAACAAAGTAGAGAAGAACGTTCAATAGAAGTAGTTATACAGGGAAAATCTAAAGGTGCATCTTTTTTCACATTATGGTTCAGACTTGTTAAGAAAGGATTACAAAATTGCCGCCATATCCAACAATAATTCAGAAAGGTGATGCTCAGTTTGAAGATTCTAACAAAGAGAGATGGACAGTGAGACACCCAAAAGAGGCACTGAGACATCAGCTTCAACCATGCTTTTACTCAGTGCTATCATCTTTACGATGACAAAAAGAAATCCAAGCTGATGATACATCATGTCTTTCTAGTACAAACCTTGTGTAATTAAGAAATCCGTTAAGCAATCAGAACCTTGAAAAGGAAAGAGAAGGGAAAAAACTAGTTGCTTGGCTTTCAGGTAAAGATTTCACCAGTTGTAGCTATCCCTACAAGTAAAATATAGCTGACTGCATAAACAAGAAAATTATAGAAATGAATTCCTAACCATACATTTGATAAACCACCCGTAAACAAAGCAAAAGAGAAGTCTGATCTTTGATTAATGAGCTGAAGCTTCAAGAAACCTTTTCCTGTTTTTCTGTACTCCTTACTGGAGAAATTTGCATACTGAAACTGTAAAATAAGAAAGAGAGTTCCATATCAGACCTTATAAATCTTCTTCTTAGCAATAAAAGAAAGAAAAGTGAGTGTTTTGGGTCACTTGAACCTTAATAGGTGCAGAACACAAGAATGGAGGACCAGCCATTCTGTTTTCCCCAGGACAGGTAGAAGCGCTGGACATTGTGAAATGTAATTCATTTCAATTAATGCATCTACATTCTACACCATTGAATTGTTATGCATGACTAGAGTTAAATAAGGTCATGAATGATATGTACCTGAAATTTGCCGGAGAAAATACACCGATCCAATCATCACTTGATGGTTTAGGATTACTATATTCCAGTTTAACCCAATCTGTATTTTGCCCATTAAACTGTGAATTTGTGAAAGGTAGGGGGAAAAAAAATCCCAAATCAACTTTTGCAACAAAAACTTGTCTCATAATCGCAAGGAATCCCAAAACAAAGGGAGATTCTATAGCGTCAGAGTAAAACTAATAAGAAGAGTGAGACATTAGTAAAATCTCTAATTAAAAAAAAAAAAAAGGCTTACCCTCAATCCAAGGACATTGGGAGTGGCTTTGATATAAGCATGTTCATGAAGAGCAAATATTGTCTTATGAATGGCAACTTTTGAGAGAGGCTGGTGTTCATCAGACATTACTTCCTGAAAGGTTGCAAGCACCAGAAGAATCAAAGCCAAAAAGAGCATCGTTGACTTCTCAATCCAACCCCTTGTCTGAAATGCACAAAAACGCAAAGATTGAAGTGAATAAACATTGCACAGTTAAGAAACATCTATCCCCTGAATCATCTTTAACAACTCCAATCTCCAAAAATGCCGGGACTCCATCGGCCTAAGAAGTAAGATACAAATGATCAAACTTTACTCAACCCGCTGAAACCAGTGACTCTATGAATTTAGTAACAGTTTGGGTGAGGGAGGATTGAGTAATGCTGGAAAATAACCAGAGGCAGAAATCACCTTCGGGAAAGAACAGAGTTGAAACTCAAATTATGTATCCGAAGAAGAAGCACAGAGCCAGCAGAAAAAACCTCGATAACAGTACTTATAGTTGCCGAATTAGGCCGCCAACTTCCCAAAGGTTGATATTCTTTTGTTCCCCTCCTTTTACACTTTGCCGACAGAGAGATGAGAATTCAAGGTATGGTATCAGCTTTGCTTTCTATGAATAATGTGAGAGTAAAAAGCCGCAGCTTCGCGAGTATCTGTGGAGAAGATTCCCCGAACCCCCTCAATCTCTTCCAGTGACAGTCCATTTCTATGATTTATTATTTACCTGCTGATTTACCGGAACAGAGATCAGACCATTGGGATTCTCATCTTTATCGAATCATTAATGAAAGTATCATTTTAGATCCGGGCTCGGCTGGACGTCCACGAACCCCCAAAGAAAAAATATATAAAATTATTAATCTCCATAATTTTATTAAATTTTCTTTTTTATTTATATAATTTTTTTAATATTTTTAATTTTTATAATTTTATGCTGGTTAAAAAAAAATTAGAATTTTATAATAAACCAAGAATTGTTCCCATGTCAAAAGCATCGGGAAGATTGGAAGTTCCAGCATCAGTCTATTGGCTAGAACCATTGTAGTGTTCTGGGTAGGAAACAGGTATACCATGACCAACATCAAAACTACTACAATCGTCAACAAACACACCAGAGTCCAACACTCATTTGCGTTTCTTATTAGGCAAAGGGAGTCTTCAACCATGGTTAGAACTAAAGAAACTTCGTGTTGTATTATTTGGCATGAAGTCTTCTATTTTTGTTATAAAAAAAATGTGTACAATGTGACTTATTTTAAATCAAACCACATATTAAATTCTTTTGTAAATCATACTCTCTCTGTTCCTATTTGTATGATAATTTTTAAAAATAATTTTTGATTCAAAATATAGGACATATTATAATAATTAAATTATTTTTTTATTTTTATCTTTTTTTGATTAACGTAAAAGTATTTAATGTAGTTATATCACTATTTAAAGCCAAGGGTATATCTCATTTTTTATGATAATTTTTTTAAAATGTATAAAATGATTGAAAGTGTTCTATATTAAAAACGGAGAAAGTATATTGTAAAAATAATTTCATTTGAAAAGTTAATAAAAAATATAAAAATTTAGTGGCATTTGCAAAACTTATCTTCCATTGCTTGATTGTAGCGTCATTTTAAGGGGGAAGTCCATATATCAATATATTAATCCATTTCCTTCTATTACGTGGACAATGTTTTAAAGTCTTATTTGATTGATTTTTAATACAAGGCGGATATTTAATAGTTAAATTTTTAATATTATCTTTCTTTTTTAATTACTCACAGGTATCTTGTAACACCCTCAAAATAAAGATAAGATTTAATTAAAACTAACCTAATATTTATACAATTCTAAAACTAAACACAAAATTAAGCTTAGAACAGGATCCTCTCTTAAGGAAATTCACTTACAAGCCAACCAATGCGGTCTATCATAGAAGAGGGGGCTTTCCCTGCAACAATAAGACCTATTACGGACAAAACCCACAAAATGCAATAGAAGGCAACTTTGTGCACTAATTGACCAAAACAAGGGGTATCGCCATTCCAATAATTTACAACAAACACAAAAAGGACACTAAGCCTAAAATTACATGCATAAGAGTGCAATTAAATGACCATATAACTTAGTCAAACAAGTTTTGTTTCAGTAGAAGGTGAGCTATAACTCTCACCTAAAAAATGTTTGAATGAGTGGTGAGATTAGAAATCTCAATAACCAAGAAAAAATTCTAATCTAAATAGGCATACAATAATATAATGTAATTTATAAAAAGGAGGTGCATGCTACCAAAAATATAATATATGGAAAATAATTCCAATTTAGGGTTCTTCAATATTAACAATTGAGTAATTAGTAGTTTCAAAAAATGAGTTTCCAAGCCTACCAATTCATAATTCAACACATAATCAATACGTATGCTTTACCTCAACTACCATCCCCACCTTCACACTCCACTTTTATAACCCATAGGCTATAGTTTAGAGAGTACCATATGCTTCCTTATGCAATTCTTGCTATGAATTCTCTCCATTTTAGAGGGGGATCATGGAGTTTTATCCAACTTTCATAGTCTAACCACTATAATTTAGTGAATAGCTTCACCTATTTTCTCTTTCCACTTCCAGCCAAGGATAGTGGACAATAAATAATAAGTTATATATGTCGCCCTTTTGCCCTTTCCTGCCATAAGAATGGGTATTTTAAGGACTAACAATTATCATGTGGTACTAAAGAACAATCCATGTCTATCACATCATGATAACTAGGTTTCAATCCCAGAATAATTCTCTAGAAACAAAACAATATACCAACATATTTAATCCAATTAAGTCATTTAATTAAAGGATAAAAATCCATCATTAACCATAACAGGGGATGTGACTCCTTCTAAAATAATATCCGTAAATACTGAGTAGGGAGTACAAAATCATTTATTAGAATATAATTCACATGGTCAATCTAATAAGGCAAAATAAAATAGCTTTCAAAGTAATTCTTTAAATCCTTAGTATTTTAATGTTATGATTTATAATTCCCTTCATTACTATACAATGCATACAAATCATTTCTTTCCAAATTATTCATAATTATCCATGGCAATGTATATCACATATATTGTAACATCCTAGAAAATTTATTTCCCAATTAGTTGAATGAACAAAGTTAATTACATAAATTAGTATGATATGTGATTACAGAGAGCTAATGGGTATTTTGGGTTATAATTTCAGCCCTAAGATTGAGTCAATCGGGCCATCCAAGAGTAAAAAAGTGAGAAAAATAAAGAGAAAAGGCTCTACGTCACATGCCGCAGCATGTGCATAAGATGCCACGGTGCATAAGCCAATCAGAGCATGGAGATCTCTCTCTATAGCATATGTCACGGCGTGTGAGGACATGCGCCATAGTGCACGGTACATTTTCTGTAGAAATAGAGTCGTGAAACTGATGTAGAACATGATAAAAACAAAAGGGAAAATGATGGGAACGCAAGGAGCTCTACTAAGGCTTGAGATTTGAAAGCTTTAAGAGCATTTTGAAACTTCTAAACACTAGAGGTAAGTTCTCTAAGTTTGAATCTCTTTTTTAATTCCATTTTTCTTGAAGTTAGAAGTTATGGTTTAGTTTAGAAAAATAATTTTTGATCTATAGAGGCTATAATATGAATACATTGATTTAAATAAAGTTAATGAGAGTTTTTTAGGTCGTTTAAATTTAGCATTTATGGCCCTACGCGTTTTTGGTAGTCAGGAGTAGTAAATGCATGAAAATCCTCCATAAATAAAGTAGATGGAGTAATGTGACTCCATTAATGCTTATTTGAAAGGTCAACGAAGTTAATGGGGTTATAGAAAGCTAATAAACCTTATAGATACCTTTATACATAGGAAAATTAAATGGTGAGAATGTTAAAGCATACAGATGAATACTGAAAAAAATTTCAAAGAGGAATATTGATGATTTATATTGTGATTAAATGAAGAGTGATCACATTTGGCACCATTTGTGATTTGTGAAAGCTTTCGGAGTAATTAATTGAGGAGCAATACTTTTGATCTTTTAAAGATTTAAGATAATCGATAGAATTTTTTCTTGTACTTCTATGTATTCATTGATTTATTGATTTAAATATTATAATTGAGATATGTGAAATTATTAAAATGCAAGTGTGGCATTAAATATTTAAAAATCAATAATTATGTGAATAAGGAGTTTAATGATTATGTGGTATGTGGAGTTTAATGATTTTTATGTGAATGGGGTTCAATGATTGTGTATTATGAAGAGTTCAATGATTGTGTGTAAATGGAGTTCAATGATTGAGTGATATGAAAAATTCAATGATTATGTGTGATGTGGAGTTCTATAATTAATTGTGAATTGAGAAAATATAAAGTGCAATAAAGTGAGTTGACATGTTAATGTGTGAAATATTTGCATTCTTATGAGAAATTGAATTTTTATGCACTATATGATCATGAGAGGTGAAAGTTTGCTTAAGAAGAGGAGTAAAAAATTAAAATTCACATGGCAAGGCTACCATTGAAGTTTGAAGGTTTGCTTGGATTTATTTATGTTTATTGTCTCACTTGTTTAATGAGAGACTGTTCCACCGATTCAATAAAGGATTTAAATCTAGCTAATTTTCTACTTGTTCAATGAGGAAGCCGGTTTAGGAAGAATGACACTCTACAATATCAGGTTTGGGGAAAACTGTGACCTATAAGTGAGTTAGGTATAACATCCTAAATTTTAACACGTATTTTTGACAAATTAGTAGTTTGATAAACTATTTTAATAATTTTAAACTCTTACTATGGTAGAAAAAGAATTATAAAAATATATCACAAATAGTCTATCATGATAAAAAAAATTTATCATGATAGAAAGATTCAAGCATAATAAATTGCTTTACCATAGTAATTAAGAAAAGCAATCCTTAAATACTTCAAGCGCACACCCTTATTATAGTTTCAAAGCCATAATCGAGTAATATTTAACAAACCATGCTTTTACTATAGATACCTAAGTTGGGCCCTAAATTATACTTTTTCAAACACTAGTTACTATTAAAAACTATTTCAAAGGGCATACTTAATTGAAATTTTACTTCATAGATAGCTAGAGCTATGAGAGACAAACATAATTTTCTTGGCATATAAAGTACAATAATAAATAAAGTTTATATGCTCAATATATATATTTCGTCATAGGTTAGCATAATATACATCAGGTACTCTCTCTTGAAGAAATTAATAACCATGAGAAATGAGACTTAAAGGTCCCATTAACCATATATTACTATGTAATAATGTACAAAAGGCGGTTAATCATGCGATTGCTAAGTGAGCAAATAAAACAATAATTCAAATAATTATTAAATTAGCATAATTATGCCTTATATCCCTCCTTATCCCATGCTTGGACGCTAAGTCACCTGACTAAAGGTGAATTAGACCAAGTTATAAGCCACACATTAGTTTTAATAAGGACTTACCACGTGGTAACTTAATCAAACAAAAATCCCTACTAAATAATTTTCAATATACTCCAACCAGTCATGCATTTATAACAGTCAAACAAAAATTATTTAGCATATTTTTATATCAATCAGACAATTTATCTCATGTTTTCAGTAGTGCTAATATTTACAAAATGTTCATAATATAAATTTAACCCACTTGGCAATTATTTTCGAACAAAAATATACATATATATTATTTCTCAACAAAAATCAATGTTTTCC